CTGGTCAGCTGTTTGTCGGCTCAGCGCAGCAGCCATGTAAATTTAAATGAAGCGGCGATTATTTAAATCGCCGCTTCATTTTCCTATGTCTGGTAGCCTAATCTACATGCCTCTGTCGCCAGAGGCATGTAGTCTAGACGTACCCTAAGATTGACAGTGTTCTTGTGCAAATACTATGCTGCTCCCGCTCGGGAGTGTAGACAGCTAAAAACTGTTTTGCGCAAAAAAGCCCCGATGGCGAAAAATGTTTTTTGAGGAGTAACATTAGTTCGGACTAAGGGCTTTAGTCCGAACTAACGCGTCCCGGCGCGCACTTCCTGGTTCGAATCAGCTGTGATTCGAACTAGCGCGCCGGCGAGATCATGTTAATGGAGCGCGGGATATTTAAATCCCCGCTTCATTAACTACTTCGATTGTCTCCATTTGCATCCCTAGTTCGAACTAGGGATGCAGTGTAGACGTACCCTTAGAGCCTGAATACGTTTAAGCGCTGGGCCTTAAAATACCTGGCAGGTTAAAATGAGGCACAAAAAGTTTAACCTGTCTGGTCAAGTCACTCATGGATTTATAAGAAGTAGCCATTCTTCTACAAAGGAATTTCACTAACCAATTACAGAAAGAGACTGCAGAACCGGAATTCATCTATAGATTTGACACTATTCAAGCCCAGGGTAACAAAGACATCGGTGCATTACAAAGCCAATTTCTCCTGCCTTTAAATGTGGGCTGGATGTAGCCCACACATAGCTTTTGATGTGGCAATGTGGATGTTAATTAGCCTCATTAACAGGTACTTCTTCTTATATATATATCTTGTTTCTGTTATTTCCCCTCCAATTCATCTGATGAGGTGGGTTTTACCCAAGAAAGCTCATGATTCTATATATTTTGATTAGTCTCTATGGTGCCACAAGACTATTCATTATCTTTGTGCCTCAGTTGTTCATTTGTTGATGGGCCTAAATTATTCTCCTTCCTTTGTGACAATTGTATATAGAATCATAGAACCATAGAGCTGGAAGAGACCTCAGGAGGTCATCAAGTCCAGCCCCCTGCTCTAGGCAGGACCAATCCCAACTAATATGTTTTGAGTGTATGCTGTTTTTGTGCATGGACTTGCTTGCTGTTTGGATAGTGTCGAGCACAGTTTTGGCTGGAGTTCTAGGGGCTACCATACTATCAATAGTAATAATAATAAAAAAGTATGACATAGCATTAACCAAACACTGATCTTTACAGGGAACCCTTATGAGCAGCTTTGCATTGTTACCAAATTCACAGATGCTGCAATCTGAGCCCTTGGGCAGCCACCCAAGCAAGAGTCAAATGCCACCTGAGTAGCAGAGTGCCCACAGCCAGCCGCATGTGTTTCTATGGGTGGTGCACATCCCCACATGCCGCAAAGAATAGAAAAAAAATTATTCTGCACATGCAAGGAAAAAATGACAGGGAGCATTGATAGTTACTCTTTGTAAATGACTGTGTTGCTCATGGAAGATGCCAGAATGATAACTCCCAATGCTGCTAGAAGCATCGGTGGAAGCACGGGGCCCCTGAGACTAGTAAAAATGCCCAAGCATTAGCTCACATACCAAACAATATGGCTGCTTAGCTACTACAATTAGCCCTGCCACCACTGAGGTCTATCTTTTAAACAGAGAGCAGAGTGATGCATCAGTGATGCCACCATTTTTAGGCTCAGTAAAAGCTACAGAGTCATGCTTTCCCTTTTGATTTACCAAGAGCGCAGGGAGTCTGAATTGTTCATCTCAATTCCGTTATCCCTTTCCCTCCTCCCTTGTTGTTGGCTGCGCAGATTGGACTTACTCCCCATTAGGCTACATCTAGACTGCATTTCTCTCTCGAAAGAGGAATGCAAATGAAGGAAATTGAAAAGGCAAATGAAGCGTGGATTTACAAATCCCGCACTTCATTTGCATAATCATGTTGAAGCACTTTTTCAGAAAAGGGGTTTTTGGGAAAAAATGCAGTCTAAATGGGATTCTTTTGGGGGAAAAGAACCTTTTTCGAACGAACCTTTAAACCTCATTTTTTCAGGAGTAAGGGTTCGTTCGAAAAAGGGTGGTTTTTTTCGAAAGAACCCAACCTAGACTGCGGGTTGTTGGCTTTTTGTGAAAAACCCTTTATTGAAAAAGCACTCGGCCGTGATTATGCAAATGAAGCGTGAGATTTGTAAATCCATGCTTCATTTGCATTTTCGATTGCCTTCATTTGCATTCCTCTTTCGAGAGAGAAATGCAGTCTAGATGTAGCCTAATGGGGAGTAAGTCCAATCTGCGCAGCCAACAACAAGGGAGGAGGGAAAGGGATAACGGAATTGAGATGAACAATTCAGACTCCCTGCGCTCTTGGTAAATCAAAAGGGAACCCAGGTTATTATTCTGTCTTGTCTTTTGGGGCCACTGAGTCATTTATGGCTCCCCTAATGAGGACTTTGAGGGTATGGCTACACTACAGAGGGTTTTTTTTGGAAAAATGGCCGTTTTTCTGAAAAAAACTTATATCCACACTGCAATTGAATTCTTCCAAAAGAAAATCGAAAGAACAGAAGGGTTTTTCCGACAGTAGTAATCCTCATTCTACAAGGAAGAAGCCTTTATCCAAAAGAGCTCTTTCGGGAAAAGGCATGTGTGGACAGGGAAGAGGGAGTTCTTTCAAAAGAAGAGGGAAGAGGAAAAAGCACAGGTGCCCTGGTGGCCACTCCGTCCATAGTAATCACAGCAGAAATGCGAGATAGCGTCCATGCTGAATGGACGCTATCTTTTGAAAAAGCAGATTGCTTTTTTGATGCACTTTGGCAGTGTGGATGCTCTCTCTCGAAATAAGTTTTTCCAGAAGATCTGCCAGAAAAGCTTCTTCCGAAAGAAGCCTGCAGTCTAGACGTAGCCTCGGAGATCTTTTGAGCTACTGGTGTTTTCTTTGGATTGTTGCAAATGGCCCCTAGGAGGGGGTAGATGGGTTGGGAACATGACTTGCTAACTCCTGATTGATAAGAAAATGAGGGGCCACTGAAGTTCTTCTGTTTGTATTAAAGCAAAAGGGCCTCCAGCCCCGCCAGGGGTGGGTAACTTACTTATAATGAATGAAACCCCATCCCCAGGTGTTCAGAACATCTTCTGTCTGAGCCTCTCAAAGTGCTTCCCAAATGCTGATTTCCACAGCGCTAGCCCCATTAAACAGGGCAATATGGCTCTGTGCCTCCAAGGCCCTGAGGAGCCTGTTGAAACCCCGGGTGAGTTAGCATCCTAAAACCTTTGGCGGCTCAGGGGATGTGACACTCAGCACTAGCCACAGTGATTTCTCTATTCCTCATGCCGAGTCTCTGTGTCTCCTGGTAGTGAGTGGGCACGAGACTTCTCCTCGCTTCCCCAGTAAGGGTGTGGTGTCTCTTGCTCTTAACAGACATGTCACCGCTCCTGCCGATGGATCTCAAAGGAGAGCCAGGACCCCCAGGAAAGCCAGGCCCAAGAGGACCTCCAGGCCCCCCTGGATATCCAGGAAAACCAGGCACTGGGAAACCCGGACTTCATGGCCAGCCAGGCCCTGCTGGACCCCCAGGATTTTCTGGTATTGGCAAACCAGGGATCCCAGGGCTTCCAGGAAAGGCAGGTATGAAAGGGATGCCCGGCCCCAAAGGTGAGCCCGGCCTGAGAGGCGAGCAAGGCCAGCGAGGGTTACCTGGCCCGCCAGGCTTGCCTGGGCCAGCAGGCATCTCAGTCAACGGGAAACCAGGCACGCAGGGTGCTCCAGGCCTACCAGGATTTAGGGGTGAGCCTGGGCCAAAAGGGGAGTCAGGGCCTCGTGGGGAGCGTGGCTTAAAGGGTGAAAATGGGGTTGGGAAGCCAGGTTTTCCAGGCCCCAGAGGAAATGGAGGCCCCCCCGGCCCTGCTGGGCCTCCAGGGCCAAACGGCATTGGGAAACCAGGCCTTGATGGCTTGACAGGTGCTCCAGGAGGGAAAGGCGACTTGGGTCCACCTGGCGCCCCTGGGATCAATGGGGAACCGGGGCCAATGGGGCCGCGGGGCCCGCCGGGCATTGATGGGATAGGCATCCCGGGGGTGGGAGGGCTGCCTGGGATGCAAGGCCCTGTGGGGCCAAAAGGAGAACCTGGTATCCGGGGCCTTCCCGGGTTACCTGGGCCCGCAGGCTATGGGAAACCAGGCTTGCCAGGCTTAAAAGGCGATCGTGGGCAACCAGGGATGCCAGGAGTCATTGGCGACAAAGGGGAACCAGGCATAGATGGGGAAGCAGGTGAGCAGGGCCCGCAGGGGCTCACTGGGCCCCCTGGGGTGCCAGGCTCCATGGGCTTGCCAGGCAAACACGGGCTGCCAGGCCTCAAAGGGGAGGTTGGGCTGCCTGGGCCCCCTGGAATACCAGGGATGCGCGGAGACCAAGGGCCCAACGGGTTTGCTGGGAAACCAGGGGTGCCTGGCGAGAGAGGTTTGCCTGGGTCACAGGGACCCCCTGGGCCCCTGGGCCCAAAAGGAGAATCAGGGTTCACAGGGCTCCCCGGGGTGCCCGGCTTAACAGGTAGTATGGGACCAAAGGGAGACGGGGGGATTCCAGGCCAGCCAGGCCTCCGGGGCCCCTCTGGGATTCCAGGCCTACAAGGCCCTTCTGGGCCCATGGGGCCACAAGGCTTACCAGGGCTGAAGGGGGAACCTGGCCTTCCCGGCCTGCCCGGTGAGGGGAAGGTAGGAGAGCCTGGCCTGATGGGACCCATTGGCCCACCTGGAATACCAGGGACACCTGGATTAAACGGGCCCCCAGGACTACCAGGGCCGCCTGGTCCCCCTGGGGCACCAGGGGCGTTCGACGAGACGGGCATTGCTGGGCTGCACCTGCCGGACGGAGGCGTGGAAGGAGCGGTGCTGGGGAATGGCAAGCCTGGGAAGCCACAGTACGGCAGAGGGGAGCTCTCTGCCCGGCTAGCACCTGCTTTCACGGCCATCCTGACCTCCCCCTTCCCAGCCTCTGGCATGCCCGTCAAATTCGACAGGACTTTGTACAACGGGCACAACAGCTACAATCCAGCCACTGGGATATTCACCTGCCCCATCTCCGGCATCTATTACTTTGCCTACCACGTGCATGTCAAAGGGACTAATGTGTGGGTGGCGCTTTATAAGAACAACGTGCCTGCCACCTACACCTACGACGAGTACAAAAAAGGCTACCTGGACCAAGCCTCAGGCAGCGCAGTGCTTGAACTGAAAGAGAATGACCAAGTCTGGGTCCAAATGCCCTCGGACCAAGCCAATGGGCTGTATTCCACAGAATACATCCACTCTTCCTTCTCCGGCTTCCTGCTTTGCCCCACATAACAGCTGTTGGGGAGGTTTCCTTTTTACCCACTTTCGCCATAAACTGTCTTGTGTTTTTTTTAATAATTTTTTTTAAAAAATAAAATAAATACAAAAAAGAAAAATCACTGGGAAGAACGCGCAAGTCATTGGCGCAGGACCTCGCTTCACACTGTTTGCTCAAAGAGTCAAGAGGATGCGTGGAGAGGAGCTTTTGTTGTTTCTTTGGGGGGGAACCAAGTGCATTTGGAACAACTTTTACCTTGGTGACTGCACATCAAACGCAGAAACTAGCTCGGGGTGGCAAGGATCTAGCTATGCAACTAAATTGTTCTTTCACTCAGAGGAGGAAAGCTGAAGAATCTAGACCCTTTTTGGTTGGTGATCGAGTGTACTTGTTCCCGCTGTTAGCGCTTTCAAATTAAAAAAAAGCCATGTTGCGTGGGCACTAGCCAGTCCAGGGATCCTACGCATTCACCCCAAATCTCTAGGAGTAGAGCTTCCTGGTAAATAAACAAATCCCCTTTCCAATCATTTCCCCCACGTTTCAAGCTTGGTTTAGACTGTGCTTTTCATCAGTTTCTTGCATTCAATCATGGTGGGTGGATTTAGTTAAAAAGGTGCTTCTGCAAAGTGTTCCCCTTTGGATAAGTAAATATTTAGGAAAAAAATCTTTAGGACTAATGTGCATCATTATTAGCCTGGAAGTAGGATAGGTGCCAGATATACTCCAAATCCAGTCAGGGAATTAGGGACCTGTGTGATGAACAATACTTCTTGACCTTTCATTAATTCATGCATTGGCAAGTTACAGGGCTAGTGCTATCATGAGGGTTTCTGTAGCCCAGAGACTTGAGGCTTATGAATGTTTTATTTCCTGACAATCCACAGATGGCGTTACAAGCAAGGCTTAGGTTGCTACTAGCTGATTTAATGGAAGGTTTAGCAGTGCTTTCGGTAAGGTGCCATTTATGGACATCTTACTTTTAATGTCCGCCTGTCAGGATGTGTAAACTTTTTCTCCTTCCACTTTAGGAACCTTTTAATTAAAAAACCAACATGCATTCATTCTAACTTGCCATGCATTCATTCTCCAGCGGTGCTATTATCAACTAAGTGTTATTTACAAGTGTAGTGCCATTACTATTTCTTTAAAGGGCACCGTTCTGCACGCAAGTTTCTGTGACATAGGGAAAAAACCATTTTGCACACGTCCTGTTGTTACCACTTTGCCTCAATAATGCTTGAAATGGCATTGATTTGACTATGAATTTAGTTACAAAGTGTATTTACAGTTTTTGGTATTACAGCTCTTGGCCACACAGCGCCACTCACCTTGTTGAACGCTGTTGCTTTGCATCTTGCCATAAGGTAAAATGGTTAGAGACCATTGCATTTAAAAGTTACTAAAGTGATTCTTCTCATCCTGGGTAGATAGAATGCTGTTGAAGTTAAGTCACATAACATACAGAATTCTGTTCTGCAAAGATGTGTGCCTAAGAAAATAGCTGAAATTCATAGTCAATAGCTCAGTGTTCATTACTCTCAAATGTCCATGACGCTTGTAATATGGCCAAAGGAGAGAAAGAATGTGACAATATTATTTTCAAGATTTATTGTAGACACACGTATTTAAACATAGATTTTGTTTCTTGAACTACACTCTGTGGGTCTTGGCATCTAGGGCTTCCATTTATAAAAGCACACCTCTCCCTGAATTACAAAATAAGAAACACAAAAAGAAGGAAGTTATAAACAAAAACAAAGGGGTGGGGAGACCCAATTCCAGAAAGATTCTGCCTGAAATGTTAAACTATGGAATTTGTTTTTTTTCCTCTATTTGGATTTACAAGAGTAAGTTGTGAAGCGATGGAACTTTTAACGAAGCCGAATATGGCTTGGGATTTTGAACTCTGTCAGAAATGTTGAATGGCTCTGAGGTTCTTCTGCCTTCAGGAATTAAAGGCCCAGATTCTATTGGCAATCAGTTATTTGCTTCCCACTTGAAATAGGAGCTATAAAGACCTAAAATTAGACGAGGAGGAACTCAATTGCGCTCTTCAAATCCACACTTGAAAGGACAGTGGGAGCATGGGACTTGTCTCTCCTTGGTTTAAATGTATTTTCCTGCGGAGAACTACAATGAACTGGAGTTGATAATACAGCATACCCCTTCATTTCAGAGCAAAGATGTCTCTCTACTTTTACCACATAACACAGCCAGAGGCAGAGATAGTAACTTGCATACGCTGCCTGCAATAGACCGGGTAAGGAATTTCCCCTCCAAGGTGGAAGTTTAAGCCTGTTATTCATCAAAGCAACTTATTTATACTGTGTTCTAACCTATGTTCTGTCCTGGATTTGTTTTTAATTCAAGCCTCTGGTTCCAGCTGGCAAAAACAGGGGCAGAAATGCACATTATAACCAAACTCAAATCTTAACTCAGTTTTGTAGAAAATATCACTTGCCAATTTTCACTTTCCCTTCATGTGCAGAGGAGAAATCATAATCAACCTTCTGACGCGCTATAACCCGTTACATTGACACGGTATGAATGACAACAATATTACACACGCAGTGAGGCTAGGAAAACAATGCACAGGGTGAAGGAGGGAAGGTGTTCCAAAAACCAGATATTGTGAGGAAGATTTTTGTTGACGTATTTAGTATGTAATGTTGCCAGCAGAGAGGTTTATTTTCTGTCGTGTGTGAGCACTTGGGATTTTGGGATCTGTCACACACAGCAAAAAATGGTTGGGGTGGATGAACTTTGTCAATTTTTAACTATGAAAACTACATTACAGTGTGCATTTTTATATACAAATTCTTATCTTTTTTAAAGTTTACCTCTAGTATCTTCTTTTCTAACCTAGTATATAGAGGATTTTAGTTTTGTAAATACCTATTACATGCACTGTCTGTCATAGTAAAATTGGTTTAAAATGCACTCGGATTGTGATCAGAAACTGGCCTCTTCAGAAATAAAACTACAGTACTTGATTGTATTGACACAACATCAATAAAACTTATTGTATAAAAGTTCATCCCAGCTGTGCCTTTGTCCTACTACAATTGATTTGTATTTCAGAAGCATCTATACACAGTAAGAAATACCCCCTGCTCCAAGAGCTTACAGACAAAGAAAAGATTAAGATACCCACTGTACTTAAGAGGAAAGGAGGCATAGAAAGAGTTGGAGACTCATCCAGTCTATGTCGAGCTCATATATGAACCCACATCTGTAGCACCCTGCACCTAAAGACTGGCTAGCTTGGTCAGTAGCGCATCAGGCTTTTCATCTGAGGCAGCAAGGTTCAAGTCCCTGGTCAGACAAGGCAGCCTCCCTATCAAGGATGATCAATACAGGGGAGCGGATTGATGACCTCTTGAGGTTCTTTCCAGTTCTATTATGGCCAGATGTCTTAGAATACTCCAAGTTCCTAGTAGCTTGCCTGGCCTACGAACTCACCTTTGTAATATGCATAGCCTTAAGACACTGTGGAACTAGCATACGCCAAGCCCTGAGGAGGATCAGCTTTTGTTTAAAGCTTGTCAACCCGCCTCCCCCCCCCCAGGTGCCCATTCAATTCAGAATGAACTTGAGAGAGTGGTAAGAGGAGATAGCATCTCTTCCGCTCCCTGATCTACATTTCACAGAGGAAAATTATTCCACGCTACTACTACAGCACTGCACAGTCCAAAAGTCCCTTAAAGGAAGCAGATGAAATTTGGGGCCTTCCAAATATTGTATTATTTTTTCCCTCTTCTATCTGCCAATTATCCAGCACAGGAGTGAGTGCTGGAGTTTCCTTTCCTGAAAAAAATGGAGTTGTGCTAGAAATTAAAAGAAAACCCATCATTCAATTATTCCACGCTACTACTACAGCACTGCACAGTCCAAAAGTCCCTTAAAGGAAGCAGATGAAATTTGGGGCCTTCCAAATATTGTATTATTTTTTCCCTCTTCTATCTGCCAATTATCCAGCACAGGAGTGAGTGCTGGAGTTTCCTTTCCTGAAAAAAATGGAGTTGTGCTAGAAATTAAAAGAAAACCCATCATTCCCATACGAAAATGCAAAGTTTATATTCAAGCTTCCAAAATCTAGGAAGAGTACCAGACTGTGCTAGTGGGTATGTCCTCTCTTGCCCCCACAACAAATTCCAATCTGTACAACACTGACTATGCTACTTATTTCCCTTCTCCCACCTGAAGAGAAGCCAGCGAAAATACAGTTCAGTTCTTAAGGCTTTAAGCACCATTGATTCCAGTATGTTTGGGGAGGGCAATGTTTGAAGTGATAATTTAAAAAACTAGTCCATTTTTAAAAAACCACTAAAAGTAGTTCTAGATGCCACTCTGGCTCTGTCGTCCCCGTCTCCCCCCCCCACCCCAACAACCACCATCACACACTGCTATTTTCTTGTGCTTTCATAACATTTCCCTATTTTAAAAAATATTCTTCCCTCCACAGACAAGCGACTGGCTGACTATACCAGAGACATGCTGAAGCTGACTATCAGGCCCCACACCCCCTAGGGACAGCCCCCTTACCCTCTTTACCATGCCGCTCACGCCATTCCCTGTTTGTAAACAAAAGTAGCCTTTGTAAGAACCGTTTTTACAGCAGGTTTCCAGAATTAAACTTACTGCGCATGAAGCAGGAGATCCGGCCCCTCACAAGATGCCACTAATTGGCCTGGAAAGGTTTTCATCCTGCTTTCCTGAGAAACATTTTTAGGAAACCACAACAACGCAGTTTCAGGCTGAGTCTTGAAGAAGGGCAATGGGAAGGGAGAGGAATAGCCTCAAGCTTTTCCTATGATTCCCTTTGTTATTTAGCCTGGCAAATGCCTGGCTGCCACCAAAGATGTAAGTGGAGGGTAAAACAATAAACCGAATGACATTACAATGAAGTCTAAAGATGACATACGAGTGCTGTTATGGGCTAGTAAAAAGCGTCACCACATTACAGCACTTAGGACTATTTTTGCACCAGGTGCAGCTTCCCCAGCCAGTGCTGCGTGGGTTATTGGCTGAAATCAGCCTTGTGAAGGGAGATGGAAGCAGGGCTAATTTCAGGAGCTGGCAAAACAGAATCAGGATCACTCCCAAATCCCGTACGGTGGTGGCTTCAGCACACAACCCTTTACCCACACCGGGGAAAAGTTAAACAGCCTTTGGAGTAACAAGCAGTGCTAAAATTCAAAGCTGTCAGCAATACGTGAGGCCTAGTGTGCACCAGCCGCTGCCGCCGCCCGTCTTCAGAGACACAAATAACTTGCAGGCAGCTGTCCCGTCTATGACTCTACTCTTCTCGTCCTGGTGGAGTACCAGCATCGACAGGAGAATCGATTCAGGCACGATAAATCGACAGCTGCTGGATTGATCGCTGTAGGGTCAATCCAGGGCGCATTGGAGACAAGCCCATAGCAAAGAAAGCCAAGGAGAAGGGAAAGATCCTTCTGCTTCTGCCCACAGAGCCAACGGTTTCATGCAGTTTCCTAGTGTCACAGGTGGAGCAGGGATGGCAAATTACAATTACAGGTGACACACACAAGGTACTTTCCAGGCCACTTATACCACAGCTTGGGAATGCAGAGGACATTTGATACGGAGGAAGCCTCAAAAGCTCCAATAAAACGTGGGGAGCCCAGAGGGGTAGGTGACGGGGAAGTAATGTTTTCTGTTAAGATGCTGTGTATAAATCTGGCTTCAAGGCTCTTACATGGCCCATCAACCATAGCTCCAATGATGCTAATAACTAATCACAGGCATCACAGAAGGCCAAGGGCAGTTTCTTTGCAGAGAGCCTGGTCACTGGTGTTTGGGACACATGGGAAACGGTACCGTGGGACACATCTGCTCTGGCTGAAGTGCACCGAGCATTTACCAGTAGATGAATTGTGCTCTGCATGAACATCACACCCCTAAGGACACAGGAAAAGATCAGGGCCTGGCGTGCAGCGTTTTGAAAGAGGACACAGATGACGACCAAAGCCTTCTGCACCCGAGCTGTCATTTTCACGGCACGAGCCTGCCACCAGCTTTCCACACAGGAAACCCCCATCCCGACTGAGGGATACACAACACCACTGGAGAACAGGCACTAGGCCCATTAGTCTGAGCAAACATGCATGCAGATTTTCCCTACTGGTTTCCAGTTGAATGGCCAGGAATTTCTGCCCCAGCTAGGAAAGGCTCCATAGGAGAAGCACCTATAAAGAACATCTCTTTATTCGAGAAGGCCAAACTTTAGTTTGCCACCTAAAAAGGCTGAGGTGAGAAGTCTCCAGGAGAACGACACTGACATCAGCAACAACACACAACTCCTTTCCTTTGATAGTTAGCCAGCGTGTAAGTCAGCGGCCACCAACTGGTTGAGCATGATCGACTGGTCAATCCTGACACGCAAGCAGCCCCTAAGGAGACAGGTGGCAACGCAGCTCCATGTGCTGTACTTGCCCCATCCCACCACGGGCAGTGCATGGAGACCCACTGCCCTCTTCCTTCCCAGGGGCCACAGAAACACGCAAGCAGCCAGGCACTTTCAAGAGAAGCATGTGGGGCCAGAGGAGCCTGAGCACCCTGCTGTGCCCCCTGAGGACAGCCCCTCTAGGCCAGAGCCTGCAGTTCACACCCTGGCCTGCACCAAACAACTTCCCAGAACTTGCATGCCTCACTCCTGGACCCTAAGAGCCTTTCCCTCGCATTTATGAGATTAGGTGCACTGACTAGAGATGTTAAATTTCGAGTCACTGACTAATAATCGATTCAGGCACGATAAATCGACAGCTGCTGGATTGATCGCTGTAGGGTCAATCCAGGGCGCATTGGAGACAAGCCCATAGCAAAGAAAGCCAAGGAGAAGGGAAAGATCCTTCTGCTTCTGCCCACAGAGCCAACGGTTTCATGCAGTTTCCTAGTGTCACAGGTGGAGCAGGGATGGCAAATTACAATTACAGGTGACACACACAAGGTATTTTCCAGGCCACTTATACCACAGCTTGGGAATGCAGAGGACATTTGATACGGAGGAAGCCTCAAAAGCTCCAATAAAACGTGGGGAGCCCAGAGGGGTAGGTGACGGGGAAGTAATGTTTTCTGTTAAGATTTGTTCCTCTTGGTTTCTGAGGACAGGACAAGGAGTAATGGGCTTAAAGTGCAGCAGGGGAGGTTTAGATTGGACATTAGGAAAAAATTCCTAACTGTCAGGGTGGTCAAATATTGGAATAAATTGCCGAGGGAGGTGGTGGAATCTCCCTCTCTGGAGATATTTAAGAACAGGTTAGATAGACATCTGTCAGGGATGGTGTAGGTGGAGCTTGGTCCTGCCTTGAGGGCGGGGGGCTGGACTCGATGACCTCTTGAGGTCCCTTCCAGTCCTATGATTCTATGATCAGTGGGGGAGTCCCCAGCTGATCCCGGGCTCCATGGGGGGCTGCTGCTTTGAAACTCTGTGGGCAGCATAGGGCCGGAGAGAAACTGCTCCACTGGTCCCGTGCTCCCCGTAGCGTTTTTGCCTTTGGAGTGAAACACTTCAGAGGTGGAGGCGCCCTGTCAACTAATCGAGTAGTCGATGCATCAACTAGTCGATTAGTCAGTGATCTCGAGCTCCATGTGGTGCTGCTGCTTTGAAACGCCGTGGGAAGCCCAGCGTCAGACTCCATGTGGCGTTTCAAAGCAGCAGCTCCACACGGGGCCCAGGCTCAGTGGAGGAGTCCCCAGCTGATCCTGGGCTCCATGCAGCGCTGCCTGTGCTGCTTTGAAATGCCGCGTACAGCCTGGAAACACCCCAGCTGGTCTCAGGCTGCGCGCAAAGTTTCAAAGCGGCAGCGCCGTGTGGATCCCAGGGTCTGGCCCCAGGCTCCACGTAGCGCTGCCGCTTTTGAAGTACCCCCTCCTCTAGTCCCCTGCCTTGTTGCCTCTTTCTGATAGAGGCAGCAAGGGGGAAGTGACTAGTTGATTCGACTATGCAATAAAAGCATTTGCTTATCCGATAGCTGACTAGTCGGTCACATCCCTAACTGTGACCATATGACCCCTGCAGCCTCAAGCTCCTGGCCCAGGCTCAGCCCAGAGCCCCCAAATAGCCTGCACTCCCAGCCTGGTGAAAGTGAGAGGAGGTGGGAAAAAGATAGTGACGGAGAAATGGCGTGAGCAAGGCAGAGTAGGCCCTGGGTTGATCTTCACTTCAGAAAGTGATCTTGTGCGTAAAAAGGTTGGAAAGCACTGCTCAAAGTGACCCTCAGTGATTTGATTACTTAAGAAAAACAGCTCCTGCATGTTTTACAGAGCACGTGTCAATCCCGACTTAAGAAAAACTAGACTTTCTAAACAGAGAATGCGGGCAAGCTCCACAACGTCTTTCCATTCACAAGAAAAACAAGATCAGTTTAATAGAAAATGTGGTTTTAAATATCAGCTCTTGCAGAACGTCTTGGAATTATAGAAGACACGATGTTGTACTTCTCAGATCTGCAGCACGGCCTATAAATATAGTGGGCCTAGAATTCCACATATTTATAGGACAAGCAGCCCCTACGTACAGATGGAAAATCCATTAAAGCTTCACACAATAAACCGGTACTCTAGGGAAGTAAAGTACAGGAAAGGTGAGGAATCACCCTATTACAACCAGATTGTTCACGTGTACACTTGATCTTAAACACACAACACAGCTTTGCTGACATCAGC